GGGCGGGCATCATCTCCCCCCGCCTGCTGGGTTAGGCCCGACACCATCGGCCTTGGGCAGGCGCTCAGCGTGGGGGCATCGCCCGCGGGCTGTCCCTGGGAGCGGGCGCCACCCTCACCGCGGTCTCCATTTACTTGGAGGGCGGCGTCGGGTTCAGAGGGGCCAGCCGCCAGCTCCGCGAGGACATCCACGAGCGGCGTGCCCACCTGGGCGAGCCTATCTACCATCGGCGGCGACTGGAACGTCGCGGCCAGCGAGATCGCCGACGCGGGCTGGCCCGACCGCCGCCGACCGTCGCCGATCGGCGGCGCCGCCGTCGCGCCAGACGCGGCCACTTGCCGCGACAACGCATGCGACTACTTCGTCATCTCCACCGCCCTGGAGGACATGGTCGGCTCCATCGCAGCCCGCGTGGGCGCGCCCATCTGCCCCCGCGCGGCGGCCCCGCTCGCGTTGCGAGGATGCCTGAAGCGGCCCATGGCCCAGGCCCAGCGGGCGCCGAAGTGTTTCGAGCTGGGTCTCGGCATTGGGTCAGAGGCCAGGGACAGAAGAGATGCGGCGGCAGCTGAGCTACCGCGGCCCCACCCGACGAAGGCCCCGATGGAGCAGGTTGAGGGCTGGTTCTGCCGGGCTGGGGGGGCCCTGCAGGCGCTCCGCGGCGCGGCCGACGGCGAGGCCCAACACTTCACGGGCAGGGCCAAGGGCCCCAGGGCGATCGCCGCGCCGCTGGGGACCGAGGACCCAAGGGCCAGGCGAACCGCATGGACAGAGCCTCGCCCGTCACACAGCTTTGGTTTTCGTTGCGTCACCTTGCCGAGCGCAGGCGGGGCCTGGGCCCTAGAGGCCAGCCGGGCTGCTATAAGGCCAGGCGGGGACAGCAGCTCCACGACGCGGCGATGAGGCAGGTCTCGAACTTCCAGGCCCAGGACGTCGCCATGTTCGGCGGCGCGATCTTCGGAAGATTCTGGAACGGGATCGCCCGCCAATCCGACGCGGGCGACCGACCGACGCCCGGCCATGATCGAGCAGATTGCGGGCAACCGCGCCAAGGAGGACGCCAATGCCAGCAAGCTCAAGTGGGAGGAGTTAACTGACGAGGCCGTCAAGCGCCAGGGGCCCATCGCCCTCGAGGTCTCCCTGTAGACCCACGGCGAGCCTGCGCCCGTTCTCGAGGCCGGGGCAGCCGGCCTTGCGCTAGTTGGCCGGCCTGCGCCGGAAAAAGGCGCTGGCGGACTGGCCCCCGCTCTGGGCCGATCCACGCCGCAGCGCCCAGGGGCGCCTGCCTCCTGGCCGGTCGGCGGCTGGTCGTTGCATCCCATTGCCGTGGGCGACATCAAGCTCGCGGCGCGCGAGGTCCCCGAGCATGCAGGGCTGGGGCGGGTCAACTTCCACCCTCGCCTCTTGCTGGGGGCGGGCGACGACGTGCTGCTCAGGATGGCCAGCCTGCTGAGCGCTGGGGCCGTCATCAGGGTGTTTCTGCCGAAACCAGACGGCGGGCAGCGGCCAATCGGGCCCGTGCCGCTGCTGGCCAGGATCTGGTCGCGCATCCGCCACACGGGTTGCGCCAGGTGGGGGCGCCCCGTCGACCAGTCGGCATTCTGGGGCACATCCTCGGCACGAGGCTGCGACAAGGCGCCCCGGCCCCACGGCGCGCGCGCGGCCCGCGTCGGGGGCTCCCAGCAGGAAGCCGCCTCAGTCTATTATCGAAGTACTGCAAGCACGTCGGGTAAGCCGAGTTGCGGGTTGCGGCGTTGGCCCGGGGCTTCGACGCGGTTCTGCTCAGGGCCCTCTGTTGCGCGCACTTGGCCCCGAGGAGCGCGCGCATCGGCACCTGCCTGAGCGATGCCATCGCGGCCACTAGCACGGTGGTCGCTAGCTGCTCGTGCGCCGCGGCCCTGGCCAAGCCCCTCCTGCGAGCTGCCGCGCTGGCCGCCCCCATTGGCAGGTTGCTCAACGTGGTGGGCGGCGTCTCGACACGCGCGACGGGGCCGCTCGCCGCGGCGGCGCAGCAGCTGGGGGCCGCTTACACGGCCTTCTGCGACAAGGTGGGGGAGGCGCACCTGCCGCTGAGCAGGCGAAAGGCCGAGGCGCTGACTACCAGCAAGGCACTGCGTGAGGCGCTTATTTGCCAGCTTGGTTTCGCTTGTGCACTGGGGCCTTCGGTGGAGCGTTGGCAGTACTTGCGGCATCTCTGCGGTTGGCATATCAGCTCCTTGTTCGAGGTTAGGGCCATGATGCCATGATGCACTGTGCAGGTCTCTTTTCGAAGCTCCAATAGTCAGAGCGGGTGCCAAGCATGGCAGAAGCCATGATCCCTCAAGGGTTCGACGCATGCGGGCCGTGGCACTGGCGCCTTCGGTGGGGCCCCCTATGGGGTCACGAAGCGTGAGATGGGTATGCCGAAATAGGTGTGGGTGACGCATGCGGGCGGTGGCACTGTGGCCTTCGGTGGACCTCCCTATGGGGCCACGAAGCGTATGAGCGGTGTGCCGAAATTGGTGTGGGTGACGCATGCGGGCGGTTGTACTGTGGCATTGTGTAAAGCTCCCGATGGGGCCACGAAACGTGTGAGGGGCGAACCGAAATGGGTGTTGGTGACGCATGCCGGCGGTGGCACTGGCGCCTTCGGTGGAGCTCCCAATGGGGCCACGAAACGTGTGAGGAGTGTGACGAAGTGGGTGTGGGTGACGTATGCGGGCGGTGGCACTGTGGCCTTCGGTGGAGCCCCCTTTTTATGGGGCCACGAAGCGTGTGAGGGGTGTGCCGAAATGGGTGTGGGTGACGGATGCTTCGGTGGCATTGTGGCCTTCGGTGGACCTCCCTATGGGGCCACGCAACGTGTGATTGGTGTGCCGAAATGGGTGTGGGTGACGCATTCTGGCGGTGGCACTGGGGATTTCGGTGGAGCTCCCTATGGGGCCACGAAGCGCTGTGCTGGGTGGGTGAAACGCAAAGAGGAGGGAGGAGGGGGAAGATGGAGAAGGAAGGAACGAAGAAAGGAGGAGACGTGGGGTGTTGTCTCTTCAAAACGAAGACCCATCACCACATGATGGTTGGGAAAAATATGCACTTGTGGGTGCTGCAGTTTTGAAGATCGTCTTCGGTGGAACGCCCATGGCGCCACGAGGCTTGTCAGGGATGTGCCTAAGTGGGCTGTGAGCCGCATGCAAACCCTGCCACTGGTGTCTTCGGTTGAGCTCCAGATGGGGCCACGACGCGTGTGAGCGGTGCCGAAGTGGTTTTTGCGGAGGGCAGAGGCAGGGATGGGAGCAGCAAGGAGGAGCGGGGACGAGTGAGTGAGTGAGGGGAACGCGGAGCACTGTGTCTTCAAAACGAGTACCCAGCACCACAGGATGGTTCAGCAAGAATCGGCTCCTGTGGAGGGCTTCTCCAGAGCCTCGCAGGCTGCCGTCGACCCCGCCGCCCCTTCTTATCCGCAGCTGCGGAGGCAAATCATCCTGGTGTGTCTCGTCCGCATGCCTTTCTTCTTCGGCTGGGCGTCCTTCAGACATACCGCAAAACCAGGGCCCCGGCGCACCGGCCGAAGCATGGCCGCACAGGGACGACGCGGCTCTGGATGTCAGGGGAGGGGGCGCGCAGGGCCGGCTGGCTCGCCTTGCCCGAGGCGGTGCCTGCCTGCTCCGGAGGCGCGCCTTCAAACGACGCGAAGATCGGGACATAATCGGATCGGGATAACTCGAAATCCTATCCCTGTTTTACCCCTGCTACCCTAGCCCTGTTTTACGCCTGCTTGGCGGCCCGCGGATCTGCGCAGCCCCGTCGCTCCGCGGGAGAGCCCTCGGCGGGCACGTGGCGCCCATAGGCCGGCCGCAGGCACGCCGGCCGCCGGCACGGAGGGTACGCGGCCGTGCCCCAGCGCGCAGTGAGAGGCTGCCCGCGGGAGGGTCAGAGGAGGAGGAGGAGGAGGAGGAGGAGGAGGAGAGGAGGAGGAGGAGGAGAGGAGGAGGAGGAGGAGGAGGAGGAGGAGTAGGAGGAGGAGGAGGACGGTCGGACCCACGCACGCAGGCCGCCACCGTCGCATGGCATGCGGCGATCGGCAGGCCGCGCGCCCGGGGCCGTTGTTGCCTCAGGGCCACTCGTGCGTGTAGCCGAGTCTGGGAGCTCGGCTGTGGCGGGATCGTCGTCGTCGTCGTCGTTGTCCTCGTCGTCGTCTTCTTCAACCTCATCCTCCCTTCCCACCCCCTCGCCCTCCCCGCAGCTAGTAGCAAGCTACGGATTTGCGCCGCGGTGGCGAGCGACATCCCGAGGCCAGAAACCAGCCGCATCCACTTGATCAGGAGGTCGGAGGGCAGAGGGAGCGAGGGAGGCGGCAGGAGGAAGGAGGGAGGAGTCGTTATGACCAAGGAGAGGGAGGGGGCAGGAGATGCGGAAATGGTGGCGACGGAGGAGGAGGAGGAAGAGGAGGAGGAGGAGGAGAAGGACGACGACGATAAGCGTTGTGTGAGGTAGGGAAGTCGGGAGATGGATGGGGTAGATAGAACGGGAACCGCACTGTGAGGGACGAGGGGGAGACGATGGAGATGCGCGGAGAAGGGGGGGCGGAGGGCGCGAGGGGGCGAGGAGGGAAGGGGGGGGTTTATGAGGAGGCAATGGGGCGGCGGATGAGGAAGAGGAGTGGAGGACGAGGAGGAGAGAGGAGGGAGGAGGAGGCGAGGGCGGCGAGGAGGAGGAGGAGGAGAGGAGGAGAGGAGAGGAGGAGGAGGAGGAGGAGGAGGAGGAGGAGGGGAGGAGGGAGGAGGAGGAGGAGGAGGAGGAGGAGGAGTAGGAGGAGGAGGAGGAGGAGGGCGAGGAGGGCGAGGAGGGTATGAGGAGTGATTGAGGCGGCGGAGGAGGAGGAGGAGGAGGAGGAGGAGGAGCAGGAGCAGGAGAAGGAGGAGGCGGAGGAGGAGGAGGAGGACGCGGCGCTCTCCACAAGGATGGGGGCGTGCCAGCATCCTCCGCGCATCGCCGGATGCTGATGCACACGTCTCTCTGCCCGCAGTGGATGTGTAGCTCTCATCTGGCCTCGAGGGGCCGAGGGTGTAAACCGCCATGGCCGTGGGCAAGAACAAGCGCCTGACCAAGGGGGGCAGGAAGGGCGGCAAGAAGAAGGCGGGCGACCCGTTCCTGAAGAAGGAGGGGCCTGCTGGGCGGCGCTGAGGAGGAGGAGGAGGAGGAGGAGGGTTTGAAGGAAAGGGAGAGAACCTGGCGGCATCTCCTCGTCGCTTCCGGCCTAGATGGGGCCCTCCACCTGGGCGCCGCGGCCGTCACGAGACGACCCTGGAGTAAAAGCTGGCCGCGGGAGACGCCCCCTGGTCTGGGATCCGTTTCCTTCATCGGGGGCGGCACAGAGGGGGGTGATGACTAGGGGGGGGTGGATATCATGGCGTGGGCCATGATATTTCCCAGATTTCATGGCGCCTCTTCTCATTTCATTACGTCCCTGGCCCCCCCGCAGGGCCGCGCACATGCCGCCAGTCATGATTTGCACCCCCCCCTCTTGGACACCCCCTTTTGGCCGCTCCCGAGTTTCCTTCAGGACCCCGTTTTCCTTGGATGCCAGAGGAGGGGGTGGACGCAAAGGAGGCGGCGACGGAGGAGGAGGAGGAGGAGGAGGAGGAGGATGAGGCGGAGTGGCGGCGGACGTGCGGGAGGAAGAGGATCCCGAGGAGAAGGGGGGCAGCGGAGAGGAGGGAGAGTGAGAGGGGGGGAGCAGGTCTTGCAGGGCTGGAGTGGGGTTTGGGAGGACGGGGGAGGCGGGCGGAAGGGGCGGCGTGATATCCACGACGTGGGTCGATGAACGACGTCGGAGCAGGTGCATCAATGTACTGCCAGATTCCCAAGTCTACCTTTAGAGCACGCTGGCCGACTCAAGTTTCTGTTGGTCGGATGTTGTCGATCTGGGATGTGCCTTATCTGGGCTTGCGTGGTTTCACTGGTGCATGTCGTGTTCGCTGGTCTCGCCGAGTTCTGCGCTGTGCACCCTCAGACGCACAGCAGCAAGCCGAGCAACCAACTGTGCTCGTCCGTGGAACCTCCACGGAGGGAAGCGACGCCACCTGCAGCTCAACAGCTACAGTCAGCCCGCATAGCAAGGGTGGGCAACTTTTCCAAGGGTAACCCTGCGTCCTTGCCTCCTCGGCCCATCATTGGCCACTCTCGTTGGCCGCGTGACGCTCGCAAGTTGTCGTCATGGCCTCCCAAGGCCCTTGCATCCTTATCGTGCGTCCTTCTGCTACGGGTTGATTGTAGTATGTCTTGACCCAGGGGCACCTGCTGGAAGCAGACATTCGATTTCTAGCACAACTTCGCTCTGTCGCGAGCAGGGGTCAGGAGGGAAAGAACCACACAGACACATTTCATCGTCGATTCCCTGGACAGTATGGGAAAGAAGGGGAGTGGGGGGGGAGACGAACATCCAGAAGACATAAAAATTATCCTGGCGGAGGGACCCAACCATGTGCAGTTGTGAGTAACCCAGTTGTGGGAATCGACCCCGATGAACCTCTCTGGGGTCACGACGCGAGTGACGGGTGTGCCAAAACTGACACGCGGACTTTGCCACCAGAGCCGTCGGTGAAGCAGTGGCCGCGGAACGTGCGATGGGTGCGCCGAAATGGAAGGGTGGAACTGCATGCGGACCCTGCAACTGAGGCCTTCGGCGGAGCACCCTACGGGGCCACGAAACGTGTGAGGTGTGCGCAAACATTGAGGTGGAATTGCATGCGGACCCTGCCACTGGGGCCTTCGGCGGAGCACCCTATGGGGCCACGAAACGTGTGAGGGGTGCGCCGAAATGGGGGTGGAACTGCATGCCGACCCTGCCACGGGGGCCTTTGGTGGAGCACCCTATCGGGCCACGAAACATGCGATGGTTGCGCCAAAATGGAGGTGGAACTGCACGCGGACCCTGCCACTGGGGCCTTCGGCAGAGCACCCTATGGGGCCACGAAACGTGTGAGGGGTGCGCCGACATGGGGGTGGAACTGCATGCGGACCCTGCCACTGGGGCCTTCAGCGGAGCACCCTACGGGGCCACAAAACGTGTGAGGGGTGCGCCGAAATGGGGGTGGAACTGCATGCGGACTCTGCAACTGGGGCCTTCGGCGGAGCACCCTATGGGGCCACGAAACGTGTGAGGGGTGCGCCGAAATGGAGGTGGAACTGCATGCGGACCCTGTCACTGGGGCCTTCAGCGGAGCACCCTAAGGAGCCACGAAACGTGTGAGGGGTGCGCCAAACCTGAGGTGGAGCTGCATGCGTACCCTGCCACTGGGGCCTTCGGCGGAGCACCCTACGGGGCCACAAAACGTGTGAGGGGTGCGCCGAAATGGAGGTGGAACTGCATGCAGCCTGCCACTGGGGCCTTCGGTGGAGCTCCCTATGGGGCCACGAAACGGGGTGCTGGGTGGGTGAAATGCAAGGAGGAGGGAGGAGGGGGAAGAGGGAAGAGGGGGGGGCAGCGGTAGGAGGAGTGAACGCGGCGCGCTGTCTCTGCGCTGTCTCCTCAAAACGAGGACCCAACAGGATGGTTGAGAAATTATGGGGAATCTTGGGATCTGTGCGTATTTCTGTGCAGCTCCCTGGGCCCCTTCAAGAAGGGCGGCGCTGGGCCGCACGAGCAGTGCGCCTCTGCTGCCCGTCGGCCGCCGAGGGCAGCGCCCAGCGGCGGCGCCCTCCCCAGATGAGTCTGCGACGTCTCGCGGGCCCCCCGCGATTCCAAAAGAGCAGGAGGAGGAGGAGGAGGAGGAGGAGGAGGAGGAGGAGGAGGAGGAGGAGATCGAGCGGCCAGCCCTGGGGGGATTCGAGAAGGGGCCGACCTTCTCAGAAGGCTCGGGCGTCCCCCAGCCTTGGACAGAGGTTCTGTGAGCCTTTCCCAACGACGCAGACTTGGAAGGCCGGAGGGCCTCTGAGAAGCCCCGCCGCTTTCTGAGAAGGCCTTCTCCTTCTCACTTCCCCCCCCCCCGCTCGTCGCCGAAATGTGCCGATACCACTCTTCGTCCTTGAGAGCCCTCGTCGCAACAACTGGCTTCTCTTCCAGAATGCACCCCAGGAGGGGTCCATGGAGTTATCGGCATCGGTGCCCTTTCTTGCACCCCCGGGAGAGGGAGGCAGAGGATGATGGAAGAGGCGAAGGAGGAGCAGGAGAGGCAGAGAAGAGTGAACAGGAGGAGGAGATGGAGGAGGAGGAAGACGAGCAGCAGCAGGACGAGACAGATGAGGCGGACGGGAAGCATCAGGGAGATCGGGAGGATCAGGAGGAAACCTTACCGCGAGGGGTCTTTCGTGCTGAGGGCCCCCCCCCCTCCTGAGCTCTCGGCTTTGGACGTCCCTATCCTCCTCGCCCCTCCATTCCTCGCCCTTCTCTTCGCTCTCCATCCTCGCCCTCCCTCCTCGTGCTTTCCTCCTCGCCCTCCCCATCGTCCTTCCCCTCCTCGCCCCCCTCGCTCGCCCTCCTCGCCCTCCCTTCTCGAGTAAGCGCGCGAGTACGATGACGGCGACAGCGGCGTCGACGATGAAGACGGCCGAGGCCGCCGGTGAGGCCATCGCGGGAGGGGGGTATTATTTTCCCAGTCTCGTTCTCGGTCCCAATCCGTCAATAAGCCCGTGCAAAAAAACGAGTGCGTCAAGATTTTTCGATGTTTGATCGTGAAGAGAAGAAGAAAGACGAGGGACAAGAGACCGTAGAGGAGTAGGACGCACTTGTAATGATTAGCAGGAGGGGGATATTGAGGGGGGGATGACGGCGAGGACGAGGATGAATGTGACGAGGATGATGATGACAATGAGCAACAGTAGCAGAGTAGGATTTAGCACACTGCCCAGGAATGCGAAGAGTCCTTTAGACGCGACTGAGGAGATGAGGAGAGGTGGGAGGAGTCGGAGGAGGATGTGGAGGGTGCAGAGTGTGGGGTGCAAGCAGGATGAGGAAGACGAGGCGTACGAGGTAGAGGAGATGGAGGAGAACGGAACATCGGACGAGGAAGACGATGGTGGAGAGGAGGGAGAGTCGAGCGAGGAGTGGTACGACATCAAGGCGCCCAGCGTCTTCACCGTCCGCAATTGTGGCAAGACCTTGGTCCCGCGCCGCGCTGGGCGCTGATCTCGTTCGCTCACTCGCTCCCGGCCCTTCCCCACCTTCTGCGCCCTGGAATGACGGGGAGGTGGGCTGTGCACGGTTAGACTGCGTCCATGATTCCGCTTTCGATTCTTGCGATCTGTTCGGCCAACCACGTACATTACCTTCAGGTTGGCTTTCGGCCATTCCGTCGTGGCGGATGTTCGCCGTGACCAGGAAAGCTCATCCGTTCTTGATTCAGCGCTCCTTGTGGTAGCACGCAGCTGCGCCCAGGTGGAATCCTGGTTTTCTGAGCCCAGGTCGGGGTGAAGAGAGTGTGCGTGTGTATGTGTGTGCGTGTGCCTCACAGACTCTGCACAGGTCCATGGCACGGGTTCCACATAACCGACGCACGTCAATATCTTCATGAGTTTTGCCGTCGCGGAGCACCAGGAACGGACGGAGGAGAAGCGATACCAACACCATCAGTGGGCCCACCTCCAGCGAGGAGCTCCACGATGCCTCCCCGAGCTGGAGGCTGGGAATGTCTCGAGCGATAGAAGGGGACCACACCACCAGGGAGACCCCCCTTGCCTCCTCGCATCTCCTCGTCCTGGTTGGTTGGTGTCGCCTTTCCTTGTTCCTACCAGACGGATGATCTCCCGCCTTGGAGTCGTTTCGCCTCCGTGTTGGCAAAACAGCGTGCGCATCGGCCAATCACTGGCTTGAAGATTTCTATCAGGTCGCTGAGCAGCGCTGTCCCCACCCCGAAGCTGTAGTTTGCTTCAAGTGGGTTGAAGGTCCTGCCCGTCATCCTCAAGTGGTTCCGAGTGGTTTACGAAAGGAAGTGCAGCCTTCAAATATACCAGACACCTGAAATAAGCATCACAACATTAAGCTATCGAAGTTTGAGGAGTTCGGCTCCGCAGGAACCCCTGATTGCGATCCTTTGGGAAGAGCAGTGCTCGAACACGTTTTGAGCGTTTGGTGTGGAGGTGGAGGAGGCAGAGGAGGCGGAGGAGGAGGCGGCGGCGGCGGCAGAGGAGGCAGAGACCCTGGATGAGCGTCTGCGCCCACCCTGGGAGGGCGTGTGCACCGGCCCTGGGTCCAGAGTGGGCCCGTCCAGGATCGGGAGGGAGGTGGAGGAGGAGGAGGGAGGAAGAGGAGGAGGAGGAGGAGGAGGAGGAGGCGGAGGAGTCGGAGGAGGAGGAGGAGGAGTCGGAGGAGGAGGAGGAGGAGACGGCGGCGGCGGAAGAGGAGGCGGAGGAGGAGAAGGAGGCGGCGGCGGCGGGTGAAGAGGGCGAGGCGAGAGGCGAGGATGCCGGCCGCGAGGCAGGGGCCGGCTTGCCGCGCGGGACACAGGCCGCGGGCCCCCGTGGCAGGGAGGCGGCCAGCCAGGCGGGAGGCACGCGGCCACGAGGCTGTGAGGAAGCGACGCGGCGGGACGCTGGAGGCCCGGAGGAGGCGTCAGAGGAGGACGAGGCGGCGCGGAGGAGGAGGCGGCGAGGGCGAGGAGGAGGAGGAGGAGGAGCAAGGATAAGGAGCAAGGAGGAGGAGGAGGAGGAGATGGCGGCAGCAAAGCAGCAGGCCGCATACGAAGTTCGCCATCCCGTGTATGGTAACGACTCGCGCGCCCCCCGCGGCCTTGCCGCGTGAGTGCGCCCTCTTTTCTCGCCTCCTGCCTCCACGGCCGCCACTCGTTTTTGTTCCCTCCTGCATGCGGGGCACTTCGCAATACCGTAGCCCATGTTGCTCGACGCACGAGCAGATCACCTCTGCCGCGCCGCGAAGGAAAAAAGTGTGGTAACGATTGACTGGTCCACCACGGGTGTCCATCGTATTAAGGATTGCCGCGTCGTCGCCATCGTTACTGTCGCCACGACCGTGCTATCGCCGTCGTCACCATCAGCGTGTCATCAATCACCATCACCATCTCCACAGCAATTTTCAGAAACCAAGCCTCATCATCACCGTCATCATTTATCATCATCGTCGACTACTGGCTGGTCGTGATCGTCGCTCGCGACTCGCCAGCAGACGTGGAGGCGTCCGGGCGGGAGGCGCGGCGGCCGCGGCCGCGTTCTGAGCAGGCGGCCAGATCGTGAGCCAGGCGCCCTTCAGCCAGGCGCCCGAGCCAGCGCACCCGAAGTAAATCGTGGGGAAGTCCAGAGCGAGAGCGTGGCTCCTGAGTGTAGAGGGCGCGGCGTTTAGAGTTTCCAAATATGTTCGGCTTCAGGTCCCGGAAGGCTTCAGAGATGCCCAGTAATCGACAGCGCGGCCCAGGGAGGCCCCCCCGCGCGCCCCAAGAACTCCCCGAGGCAGCCCGAGCCCACCCCAAGGAAGGCTCCAATGTAGAGCCGAGGCCTTCCCAGACGCTCCGAGGGTGGCCCGAGCCCTGCCGAGTGTGCACGGAAGCTTTACCGTGCCCAAGACCGCATCGAGACCCCAATTCGCCGCAAACGGGATGCCAAGAGGCCCCCTCTATGCCTTCAGAGTAGACGTTAACATTCATACTTATATTTGTACATCCTTATCATCGTCGTCGTCGTCAGCACCATCATCATCAGCATCATCATCAGCATCATCATCAGCATCATCATCATCAGCAGCATACACTGAAACTCGGCCCAGGGTCCTTGCGGCCGCAGCACAACAAGGGCCCCCAGAGGAAGGGCCCCCTCCCCTCCCAGAGCCTCCCCGGAGCCTCCCCCAGGCGATCCCGGACTCCCCCAGGATGCTCGCGGAGTTTTGCCGACGTTCCAAGAGGGCCCCAGGACGTCCCCAGGAGGCCCCCGGGCTCCCCCAGCAGGCTCCCGGCGCTGCGGGTCCCCAAGAGGGCCCCATCCGCCGGGAGAGCCCACAGAGGACCTCCGAGGAGTCAGATTCGTCAAACGCCGAATGTTTTTTTGTTTGGCGAGGAAATCCAGTTTTTTTCCCACTTATTGACAACATCTGATCCAGTGGAGTGCCATGTTCTCTTGAGTTCTCACTTGTTGATGACCTCGGAGCCACACAAGGTTCCCAAGAGAGCTCCAGTATTGTCCCAAGATTGCCCAGGACTGCCCCGCGAGGAGGGCAGACGACGGCCTCCAGAGAAAGAGCGTGTTCTACCGCTGCTGGCGGAACACCGGGGGGGGTCACTACCGGTTCGAACCCCCCCTCCCCCTACCAGTTCGAGCCCTTCCCCCCCCCCAGTCCATCATGAAAAGGGGGGGGGGGTCACTACCGGTTCGACCCCCCCCCCCCGAAAACTGAAGGGGGGTCACTACCTGTTCGAACCCCCCCCCCTTCGAAAACCGAGGGGGGTGCGGACAGTGGTGGGGACGGTGGTGGTGGGGACAGTGGTGAGGGGACAGCGGGACAGCGGTGGGGACGGTAGTGGTGGGGACAGTGGTGAGAACAATGGTGGGAACATTGGGGATAGTGGGACAGTGGTGGGGACGGTGGTGGTGGGGACAATAATGTGGGGACAGTGGGAATGTGGTGGAAACAGTGGAACAGTGGAGGGTACAGTGGTGGTGGGGACAGTGGTGAAGGCGGTGGCGAGAACGGCGGTGGGACAATGGGACAGAGGTACAGTGGGAACAGTGGTGGGGACAGTGGGGACAGTGGTGGGAACCAGTGGTGGGAACAGTGGGACAGCTCAGTGGGATAGCAGAGGAGTCAGTGGGACAGTGGGGACAGTGGGGATAGTCGGGCAGTGGTTAGGGCCGTGGAGAAAGTGGGGAGAGTGGAATCGTGGTGGGAACAGTGGTGGGGACAGTGGGGACAGTGCGACAGTGGTGGGGGCACTGGTGGGGACAGTAGGGACGGTGGTGGAACCAGTGGGGACAGTGGTGGTGAGGACAGTGGTGCTGGGAACAACAGAGGGGGTGTGTTGCGGACGGTGGTAGGGACCGGGAGTCGTTTGCTGGCGGTGAGGGGGGGGGGAGGGGTTCGAACCGGTAGTGATCCCCTTCCGGTTTTCGAAGGGGGGGGGAGGGTTCAAACCGCTAGTGACCCCCCCCCGGTGTTCGAGGGGGAGGCGGGGGGAGGGGTTAGGGGAGGGGGGGGTTTGCCGGGGGAAGGGAGGGGGGAAGTCCAGCAGGGGGGATGATTTTCGGGGGAGGGGGGGACCCCCGGGTTCCGGAGGAAGAGGGGGGGGAATTTTCCATAGTAAAGCGGCGGTGGATCACGCTCTCTCCTAAGATGAGCCCCAGACAGCCCAAGAGGACCCCTGGACGATCCCACGAGGCCCCCAGGCCCCCCCAGGAGGCTCCCAGCGCTGAGGGGCCCCAAGACGGTCCCAAGGGGCCGCTGGAATGCCCACAGAGGACCTGCGAGGGGGCAGATCAGTCAAATGATATGAAACATCCTATGTCCTTTCTGTGGTTGAAATGTTTTGGACTTCTAACATGTTGATATTCAATGCGGGTGCGCTGCTTGGGTGGTGGCACGCTGGTATGGCTTGAAAAGGGGAAAAGTTTTGTTGAATGTTGGCGAAGACTGGCTATTGCGGCGGGATCGCATGTGGAACATCAAGCGAATCCTCAAGGCCGCCAAAGAAAACGATGCGCAAGAGCAACTTTATAACACGGCGGGCGTCCAGGATCACAGGTATAGAGACAGCACGTTTGTCAAAATTTTCGAATCAATGACCTGGTGTTGCTTCAAAGGTTCGAAGGGTTGGGGCGGGTTTTGTAATGCGCGGGAGGTTTTTGTATCCGAGGAGAAGTCGAGACGCCAGTAGAGAGGTGGCCTCAAGACAGCGCAATGCCCCCCCCAACACAACTATCAAAACGTACCCACGAGAGCTCCAGGAGGACCCGTAGAGGACTCCAGTACGTCAAATTCACTGATGCCCCCCAAGTGTTTGTGTTTGTGCGTGCTTTCTCGCATTTCTGCGCTTTTATGGTTTACGGATCGAGCAGGACGGCACAAGAGTTTCTTACCCCAGTCCAGACCCTAAGGAGCGGACCTGGACAGCCCAAGACGGGCCCCAGAAGGCCCCACAACGTCACCAGACAGTCCTCAAGGGGAGCCCCAGACGGTCCCCAGAACCCCCCATAGAGCCCAGCGGGCCCTCAGACAGATGGCCCAAGAAGCCTCCCAGATGGTCCACGACGCCCTAAAAAGAGCTTCAAGGTCGAGCCATGCACAGTGTGTCAGGGATACTTCCGCCCACACCTGGCAATGGAAGACGCCTATGGCAAGTCCCGAAGGAACCCCGAGAGGCGAAATCACGCGAAAGCGTGAAGGAATGCTGAGGAGCAGGAGCAGAACAAGTGGCATGAGCAGGAGCATGAGGATAAAAGGCCCGCAGGGTGTTTGCCACGCGCGCGTGGGCAAGAGGTTGCCACGCCCCCGCAGCCCTGCTTCCGCGAATCGTGCGAACGCTGGGCTGACTGGGGTGGCAGGGAGACATTTGGAGGGCCCAAGCGGCCAGGCGCGAGCTGCATTCCCCCCACTTCCTTGGTATCGCTCGGACGTGTGCACTTTCTCTCGGCGGGGATTATTAAGGATCATCCTGGATCATCCTGCCAAAAAAAACACGCACTAAACCGAAACAGGCACAGGGAATGGACGTCCGAGCGATGGCCAGTTCCTGCTGTTCCACTCCCCCCTCTCCGCCTTCTTCTCCTCCGTGCAGGTCACCCGCACGCAGGGCACCAAGATCGCCACCGAGGAGCTGAAGGGGCGGGTGCTGGAGCTGAACCTGGCGGACCTGAACAACGACGAGGAGCCCCTCCTCCAGAGGAAGCAGAGTAGGAGTAGAAGGCAAAAGACAAGGGAGGACAGGGACGAACAGGAGGAGGGAGAGGGGCTGACCCCCTCCTCAGCCTTCACCTCCCAACCCTACTGCCTCCCTCCTCCTTCGCCTCTCCTTCATACCTCCTGCGTTCCCCCCTCCTCTTCCGCCCTTCCTCTCCCTCTCCTTTTCATCCCACTGCTCATCCCACATGCTCCTTTCTCATCCGATCATCATCTTCCCTCCCCGCCATTCTCACCGCCATCCTCCTTTCATCATTCCTCTCCCATTGGCCTCCTCACACCTCCTCCCTCTGATAGTCCATTGGGGTCCCCCGATCGTCGAACTCGTTGCGATAGCAGCGTCTTGCGCGCTTGTGTGGTTGGTCGCCCCGCGGCCCCAAATGGCGAAAGCGCGCCAGTGGATCTCCCTGAATAACCAAAGGGGGGGGTCTGCTCGCAGAACCCCCCCCCCTCCCCCCCTTCCCCAAGGTGGGTTGAGATTTTCGACCCCGCCCCCCCATGTCCCCCTGAAGGGGGGGGGGGTCCGAACCCCCGGCTCATTCCCCCCCCCTTGAAGGGGGGGGGGGTCCGGACCCCCCCCCCTCCCTCCTTTGGCGCTGGAAAGGGGGGGGGTCGGACCCCTCCCCCTTCCCCCCCTTTGCGCCGGAAAGGGAGCCGGGGAGGGGAGGCCTCTCTCGCTTGTCTTTTCTGCGCCGGAGAAGGTGTGTAGGGAGTACGGAGTTGGGAATAGGTAGTAGTGAGTAGTGAGTAGTGAGTTAGTGCGTAGTGCGTAGTGAATATTGTGTAGTGACTAGTGTAAAGAAAGCGGCGAGTAGGGAGTAGGGAGTAGGGAGTGGGGAGTTGGGAGTAGAGAGTAGTGAGGAGTGTGTACTCATAAGTGAGTAGCGAGTAGTGAATAGTCAGTAGCGAGTAGTGAGTACTGAGTAGGGAGTAGGGGGTGATGAGTAGTGGGTAGTGAGTAGTTGGTAGTAAGTAGTGGGTGGCGAGTAGTGATTAGTGAGTACTGAGTAGTGGGTAGCGCGTAGTGCGTAGTGGGCAGTGAGTAGTGAGTAGTGAGTAGTGAGTGGTGAGTAGTGGGTGGTGAGTAGTGAGTGGAGCGTAGCGAGTGGTGAGTAGCGAGTAGGGATTAGTGAGTACTGAATAGTGAGTAGTAAGTAGTTCGTAGTGAGTAGTGCGTAGTGAGTGGTGATAAATAGTGGGTAGTGGCAGTGGGTAGTCAGCAGTGAGTAGGGAGTAGGGAGTATCGAGTAGTGAGTAGTGAGGAGCGAGTAGGGCGTAGTGAGTAGTGAGTAGAGAGTAGTCAGTAGTGAGTAGTGGGTAGTGACTAGTGAGTAGCGAGTAGGGAGTAGCGAGTAGTGAGTAGGGAGTAGGGGGTAGTGAGCAGTGAGTAGTAAGAAGTGAGTAGCGAATAGTGGGTAGTGAGGAGCGATTCGTGAGTAGTGACTAGTGACTAGAGACTATGTAGACTAGTGAGTAGGGAGTAGTGAGTAGTGAGTAGCGGGGAGTGCGTAGTGAGTACTGAGTATTGAATAGCGAGTATGGGAGTAGCGAGTAGTGAGTACTGCGTACTGTGTATTCAGTATTGCGCAGGGAGTAGGGAGTAGCGACTAGCGAGTAGTGGGTAGTGAGTCGTGATTTGTGGGCACTGAGTAGTAAGTAGTGAGTAATAGTAGTGGATAGTGGTTAATGAGTGGTGATTAGTGAGTCGTGAGTAGGGAGTAGTGATTAGTGATTAGTGAGTATTAAGTAGTGGGTAGTGAGGAGTGAGTAGTGAGTAGTGAGTAGTGAATAGTGAGTAGTGAGTAGGGAGTAGTGAGTAGCGAGTAGTGGGTGGTGGGTAGTGATTAGTGAGTCGTGAGTAGTGAGTAGGTGGTAGTGAGAAGTGAGTAGCGAACTGCGAGTAGTCAGTAGTGGGTAGTGAGTGATGAGTAGTGAGTACTCTTTGGGGCTGGGCTTAGTGGTTGGGGTTAGGGTTAGGGGTTTGGGTTCGGGTGAGGACTAGGGGTACGGGTGGCGGGGGTCGGGTTCTGGAGTCAAGGGGGCGGCGTGGCGAAAGGGGGGGAGGGGGGGGGTGCGGCCAAAGGGGGGGGGAGGGGAGGGGTCCGACCCCCCCCCCCCTTTTGAAAGGGGGGGAAGGGGGGGGGGGGGGTTCCCGATGACGGACCAGGTAAGGGGGGCAAGGGGGGGGGGGTCCCCGACGACGGATCTGGGAAGGGGGGGAGGGGGGGGTCCCCGACGACGGATCGAGGAACGGGGGGGGGAGGGGTTCCCCCCCCCCTTTGGGGAGATCCAGCGGCGCGCCCTCCCAAATAGCCGCGCACCAAAGGTCACTCTTACCCAGGGTCACTCTTTGCGAGTAGCCGAAGCACCCATCCCAGAGATCCGCTCGGAGGTACGACAGTTTGTCGTTACCCAGTCTGATTTTTAGTAGTGTTCCCATTTTCTGATTTTGTTTTACCATTGGGGGTCTTATTGCTGCTAGTGTTATTGTTCTTGTTGATGAATTCTCATTACTGAAGGATCATTGTTGTTAACCCTTCCCTCCGGGGCACATTGCATCTTTCGGTTGAAGTGCCCTTCCTGGGGTTCGCACCCTGTTTTTGATCAGTGAAAGTTTGGGGTCTCAGAATTGGGGCCGTGGCCCCCGAGTTGCAGCAACAACAACAACAAAAAAATAAGACCGTTCGCCCTTATATGTTCGAGTGTCCAATAACGCGTATGTCCCAAACCCTCGATACCCGCCTTCTTCGTCTTCGATCGAATCCCTTTTGGGGGGTATACCTTTCTTCCCTGCAGGCCGGGCCCCGGCAAGCGGCGGGGCGGCCGCGGACCGTCGGCCTGGCCAGCGGCAGCGCTGATCGGCGGGGCGGCCGCGGACCGTCGACCCGACCCCAAGAGGGACGGACAGGGGACCGACCACGACGACGACGACGACGACGACGACGACGACGACGACGACGACGACGACGACGTCGACGACGACGACGACGCGACGACGACGACGACGAGCGAAAGCGAGAGCGAGAGAGAACGACAGCAGGGCCACGAAGGGCACGAAGTAGGCCACGAAGGGCGGCAGCGGGGACACGAAGGGAATGCGTATGGGGCCACGAAGAGCGCGAACGAGCGGGGGCCACGAAGTGCAGATAATGCGGGGCCACAGAAGACAACTATGGGGCCACTGAGGGTAGCAACTGGGCCACGTAGGACAGTGAGTGGGGACACAAATATCGACAGCGGGGCCACGAAGGGCATGCACATGGGGCCACAACGGGCGCGACTCCTGGGTGCATGGGTGTGGGGAGCGCGGCGCTTGGACAAATTGCAGGAAATCCCGACGCAATGCCATTCTTCAGTAAGTTGGAAGCAAGTCTCCAGCGAGAGCGCGACTCCAGAGCGCCAGGAGAGCGATTCCTGAATAAATGGTAAGGAAGTCCCAAGCGAGAGCGCGACTCCTGCTTAAAATGCGAGGAGGTCTCGGGCGGGAGCGGGGGTCTTGGCTAAAATTCAAAGAAGTCTCAGGCGGGAGCCGTTGTTCTTGTAACCCGGGGGCCAGGGGCCCAGTTTGAACATCCAGATTTTCCATGTCGACAAGCAGGGTGCGAGCGTCGAGGGGCACACTTTGATTTAGATAAAACAGTATGCACCGGCGGGGGGGATCAACAATCATTATTTTTCAGAAGTGAGAATTCAACAGTTCCCGCTTGATGCTCTCTCATAAATGATTCCCAAATCTCGCTCTCGCGCGGGACTTCTTTGCAATGTCTGCAGACATCGCTTTCTCGCGTGGGGCTTTCCCGCAATTTATTCAGACATTGCGCCCTCGACACTCAGGAACCACGTTCTCGCTGTGGTTTATCTCACGATTGCTTTGGGAATCGCGCTATCGCTCGGGACTTCCTCACGATTTATGCAGGACGCACGCTTCAGCAACCCTCCTGCTCGATATGGCCGCCTGGGCCCGCCTTCCCGACCCGCCTGTTAGGCTCTACCCGCCCGATCCCCCGTCCTGCTGCTCTCTCCCTCTCTCTCTTTCTCCATCCTCCTCCCTCCCCGTTGCCCTTGTTTGTCCATCCGTCCTCTGTTCCCCTGCCGTAGGGGCTGCATGAAAAACACGTTGCAAGTAAGAAAGATATGCCCCCAAGGGGGTACGATCGAAGACGAGGATGGCGGGTATCGAAGGTTTGGGGCATACGTGTTGAATGGCACACGTGCAGATACGAGCGAACAGTCTCAAACCGATTGTTGTTGTTGCTGCTGTTGTTGTTGTTGCTGGCGTTGCTCTTGTTGATGTTGTTGTTGTTGGTACTGTTGCTGTTGTTGCTGTTCCTGTTGCTGTTGTTGTTGATTGTCGATGTTGTTGTGTGTTGCTGTTGTTGTTGGTGTTGGTGTTGGTGTTGTTAGTGTGGCTAGTGTTGCTATTGATGTTTTCGCTCTTGTTGCTGTTGTAAACTAATATCTGGAAAATAATTGTTGTTGGTATCCTGATGCGGTTCCGCGCGCTCTCGCCTCGGTGCTTACTCACATTCTTTGGGAAACGAGGCTCACGCTCGAGGGCGGGCTTGATTGTAAATGTTTGCCCTTGGAAGCCCAGCTACGACAACAACGGCTCCCGCTCGATTCTTCCTCACAGTTTACTCCGAGACACCCTGGCTAGAGAGGCTCCCGACCTCAGGAACGGTGCTCTCCCTCGAGACTTCTGACAATCTAGTCAAGATGGCGGAGGCCCAGCCACGACGACAAGGGCTCCTTCTGTATACCTACTCACGATGTACTCCGAGAGCTCCCGGCCAGGAGGGCACCCGAACTCGGGAACGGCGCTTTCGCTCCAGATGTATTCGTAATTCAGTCAAGCTGGTGGAGGCCCAACTACGACGACGAGGTCTCTCGTTCGATTGGCCCCACGATTTACTTCGGGAAGCCCTGGCCAGAGAGGCCCCTGAACTTAGGAACGGCGCTCTCACTCGAGAGTTCTTTGTAATTCAGTCAAGTTGGTGGAGGCAACTACGACGACAAGGGCTCTCGATCGATGCGTCTTCACGATTTATTATGAGAGGCCTTGGCCAGAGAGGCCCCCGAACTCAGGAACGGCGCTCTCATTCGAGAAGTCTTCGTAATTCAGTCAAGTTGGTAGAGGCTCAAACACGACGACAGCGGCTCCCGCTCGCTGCGTCACGATTTACCCCGAGAGGCCGTGGCCAGAGAGGCCCCCGAACTCGGGAACGGCGCTCTCACTTGAGAACTCTGGGAGCGCGTTTCACCTGCGCTTGCCTTGGAAACATTCGGAGGCGCGCTTGAACGGCCCCCCCCCCGAACATTCGGCGCCGTCGAAGAGAACCAGGGAGACTCCCCTCCATCCTTCCCGCCCCGCCCTGCGCCGGCGGCTGGCAGCGCCGACGACGGCGACGCGGCGCGACGACGACCAGGACGAAGACGTCGCCCACGACGACTACGACAAGGTCTCTGGTAGTCCAGTGTCCTCGGCCCTGAATGTCACAATATTCGCTGGCCCGGACTTCAAATCGAATATTATTCGTGTTGCGTCGCGTGCCGCCTTCGATTTCCGTCGTCACCGTCGCCGTCGACGTTGTCGCCGTCGTCGCCGTCGTCGGCGTTGTCGTCGTCGTCGTCGTCGTCGTCAAGGTCGTCAAGGTCGGCGTCGTCGTCGTCGTTGTCGTCATCGTCGTCGTCGTTGTCGTCGCCGTCGCCGTCGCCGTCGCCGTCGCCGTTGCCGTCTCCGTTGCCGTCGCCGTCGCCGTCGCCGTCGCCGCCAGCCAGTGCGGGCGCCGGCGCCGTGCTGGAGGAAGGAGGAGTGGGTTCGAACCCCCCGTCCCCCCCTTGAATCGTCGTCAACGTCGACGTTCCCCGCCGCCGCCGACAGCCGCCGCCAGCGCCGGCCCGGGAGGGGGAGGGGCACCGCCGCCAGCGCTGGCGTAGGCCCGGAAAGAGGGGGGGCACCTGGTTCCGGACCCCCCCCCCGAGCGCCCACATCACGCGCGCGCCATGTCCAATAATCTTTCGTAATTCAATCAAGTTGGTGGAGGCTCAACTACGGTGACAACGGCTCCTGCTCGATGCTTGTTCACGCTATAATTCGAAAGGCCTTGGCCACAGAGGCCCCGAATTCAGGAGCAGCGCTCTAGCTGGACTTCTTCGCAATTCAGTTGGGATGGTGGAGGCCCAGCCACGACGACAAGAGCTCCCGCTCGATGCTTCTGGACGATTTTTTCCGAGAGGCCCTGGCTTGAGAGGCCCCCGAACTCAGGACGTGCGCTCCGCTTGATACTTCTTCGCACTTCAGTCATTGGCCGACGAGGAAGGTATTCCCAAAAAAATGGATGCGATAGAAAACGAAGTGGCCGGGTATCGAGGGTGTTGGGGTGTACAAAAAGAAAGCCTCGCGGGTAAGTAGGAGCGAGCAGTCTTAAATTGATTGTTGTTGTTGCTGGTGGTGGTGGTGGTGTTTTGTTGTTGCTGTTGTTGGTGTTGTTGATGTTGCTGCTGTTATTGTTGCTGTTGTTGATGAAATCTCACGTTTGACGAACAATTTTGGTTGATCCCCCCCGCCTCTGGTGTTCTATTAGGGAAAGTGTTCCTGTTCAAGCTGCGCCCTTGGCCCCCGAGTCACAATAGCAACGGCTCCCGCCTGATACTTCCTCACAATGTATTCAAACATCGCGTTCTCGCGCGGGACTTCTTTGCAATATCTGCAGAAATCGTTTTCTCGCGTGGGACGTTCCCGCAATATATTCAGACGTTGCGCCCTCGACACTCAGGAATCACGGTCTCGCTGTGGTTTATCTCACGATTGATTTGGGAATCGCGCTATCGCTCGAGATTTCCTCGCGATTTATGCAGGGCGCATGCTTCAGCAACCCGCCTGCTCGATATGGCCGCCTGGGCCCGCCTTCCCGACCCGCCTGTTAGGCTCTACCCGCCTGATCTGCCCGTCTGGTTCTGCCACGTGTTTTCTGCTCCTAGCTCCCCTCCTGCTACTCTCTCTCTCTCTTTCTCTATCGTGCTCCATCCTCCTCCTTCCCCGTTGCCCCTTCTTCTCCATCCGTCCTCTCTTCCCCTACCGTAGGAGCTGAATGGAATACACGTTGCAGGTAATAAAAACATATCCTCAATGGGGGTAAGATCGAAGACGAAGAGGGCAGGTATCGAGGGTTTGGCTACACGTGTTGAATGGCACGCAAGCAGATAGGAGCGAACAGTCTTAAACTGATGGTTGTTATTGCTGGTGTTGTTGCTGTTGCTAGTTGTGCTGTTGTTGTTGTTGTTGGTGTTGTTGTTGGTGGTGTTGTTGGTGCTGGTGTTGGTGTTGTTGCTGCTGCTGTTGCTGTTGTTGTCGTTGTGGTTTGTGTTGTTGTGGTCGTGGTTGAGTGGTTGTGGTTGTGGTTGTGGTTGTTGTTGTTGTTGTTGTTGTTGTTGTTGTTGTTGTTCTGGGTGTTGTTGTTTGCGTGGTCATTGCTGTCCCTTGAAGGACCAGGCCTACAAGAAGGTGAAGCTCTGCATCGAGGAAGTGCAGGGCCGCAATTGCCTAACGGACTTCCACGCGCTGGAGCTGACGCGCGCAGGGCTTACACCTGCCGGGCGAGCTTTGGCAGGAGGGTGCGGCGAGGGGGAGCGAGGAGGCTGGGCAGGGGCACGGTGCGGAGTTGGAGGAGGCTGAGGAAGAGGGCAATGAGGAGGGTCGGGAGGAGGAGGGGAGGAAGAGGCGGATGTGGGGGAGGTGGAGAGCAAGGAGGAAAACAGGAAGGATGTGCGCGATGCGGGCGCGAAGCAGGAACATGACGAAGGCAGGAAGGGGGAAGTGGAGGGAGAGGAGGGAACAGAGGAAGACGGCCAGAGGCCTAGGAAGAGGTTAAGCACGTTGGCAGCGAGTCCGAGCGGCAGCTGCTATACAGAGAGGGAGTGTCCTTGCGAGCGCATGGATGTGGGCCATGCCCTTAGCAGGGGCCTGCGAGGAGGAGGACCCACACATGCGATGTCCTGACCTTCTCAATACGGGTTCCCCAGAAATCCCGACCCTTTTCCCGGGAGTGGCTTTTCGTCCCGAGTGGTTTTTTCACAGCCCCGGGGCCCGAAATTTGCCCAAATCCTCCGGGGCGCGCAGACCGCCATGCCATCCATGCCATGCCATACGTCTTCTGAGAGTTTATGTATCAGAACTGCTGAATTCAATCCCGTGCTGTTTAGCCGATGCGCCGTGCGGCGCGGCTCCACTGACTGACCTCCCAGCGGGGCTGGCGACGGAGATGCGGCGGGGCGGTCCACAGCGGCCCCTGCTCCCGGCGCGGCCCCCCGCGGGGGGCCGCCGCTGGCCGGAGCCGGGCTGTGGCGGCAGGGGGGGACGTGTCTCTAGCAGTGGCGGAGCGTCCTGGGTTGCTGATAGGCCCACCGAATGATGTTCCAAGAACAGTGTGCCTGGCATCGCTCGGACGTGTGCATTTTTCCTTCGGCGAGGGCCATCGAGGAGCATCCTTGATCATGTGGCGAAAATTTCCACGCACGAAAGAGAGAACAAAAACACAGGGAATGGACGTCCGAGCGATGGCGAGTGTGTGGTTTACTCGAAATGCCTTGATTTTTTTACACGTCGGGCGAATGTTTTAAGACCACTGTTTCTGTTATCGTAGCATCTGTTGGTTCTATAGCAGATTTTGTGGTAGGACTATAGGGATGCCGGGGCGGTCGGTCCCTGTTCAAGTGTCGGGCGGGCGAAAATGGGGGGGGGGGGCTGACATGGGGGTGCGCCGCGCGGATCCGAGAAATCCGCGCGAACCTCCGAGTTTTTATGTTTATGTAATGTGTCGTTCCCCTATCTAAGGGTCTTTAGATTTGATCCTTCCCTTTTCACTCGGCGGTGAACAGGGCTGGTTCTGAAACCTCGTAGCCGCCGTCCTTGCCGTTGCGCGGCGGAGGCCGCGGAAGCAAGTCATCCTTAGCTACCCCCCTGTTGGTGGGGCCCCAGCCCTTCCATGACTCGGCATCGCTCGGACGCGTGCTCTTTTCCTTCGGCGAGGACCATCGAGGAGCATCCTTGATCATTTGGCGAAAAAACCACGCACGAAACCGCACAAAGCACACAGAATGGACGTCCGAGCGATGGCGAGATGAGGCCGCCGAGCAATCGTCAGACACCCCTATCGGAGGGGGGGGGTTCTGAAGACCCTCCGGGGTTACAGCGAGCGGCTTGAATAAGGAACACTTGCGTTTCAAAAGGGGCTTGGTCGTTCCTTAGGCTTGAAAGCGCTACTTCGTCGTTTCTTGCTGCGTTATCTATTCTCTCTCGTTGCTCATGCGTTATTCCCTGGAAGATGGAAAGGGGCCTCGTTCCTTATTTGGGGTTCCTTAGGTCAACGCCCCGACTGTAGCCCTTGCCGGTTTTGCCTCGATCCCGCCCTCGCCTCCGGGAGAGGGGGGGCCTCGCGGCCTCCGGCTGCGACGGCGGACACCGCGGGCGCCGGCGGCGCCGCGGCGGCGAGGTCCTCTCGGCCGCCTCGGGGGCGGCTCCGCCGCGGGCGGGCCGCCCCACGCCCGCGCGCGCGGGGCACCCTATCCCTAAGAGTGACTCGCCAAAAGGCGATGACAGTCTTAGGGATTCGCCCTCAAAAAATGAGGGAGTCCCTAAGATTGGCATCGTGATGAGGAGATGCCCAGCATAGGGATAGGGATATGTTCCAGGCTGGTACTGGGGAGCGGCCCTGGGCGTCCAGAGACTCGGGCCCCAGGCCCCGCGGGTGGCAGCCCGATAGGGTCGGGTGGAGCCGACGATGAGGTCGGGCACGTCCCTCTACGGGGGGAGTTTGCAAGAAGCAGCATGACATAGTCTGGGGGGAACGATTTTTGTCGGCTGTTTTTGTGAATCATTTTTGCATGTGTGTTTGACTACTGTTCACTTTCCTTCCCAAATCCGCCTGTAGGAGGAACTTGCCCCCCTGCTCGGCGGCCACTCGCAGAGGGGGGTACAGTCCACCCGCATAGCAAGGAGGGGCAACCTTCCCAAGGGTACCCTTGCATCCCTGTTCCTCCTGCCCATCCTTGGCGACTTTCGATGGGGAGCCTCATCCGACAAAAATTGTTGACATGGCCCTGCAAGGCCCTCGCATCCTTACCGCGCATCCTTATGCTACGGGTCGGCTGTAGGGGAAGGGGGACGGCCTCTTAGAAGCACCCCTGCCTCTCGTAAGGCGCGGGCCTTCTGTACAGTCGGGGCCCTGAAGAAGGAACCCTTTTCGTTGGGGAGGGGCTCCGCGTTCCTTAAGTGTTTCACAGCTTGCCTCAGGTTTTCCTTATGTGTTCGATAGGAATTCGAAGGCTAACTTATGGAAACAAAGGGGCCTCGTTCCTTAATTTGGGTTCCTTAGGTCAACGCCCCGACTGTATAGGACCAGCACCTTCCAGGAAGTGCACCCCATGGACTCGGAAGGGTCGATGGCTGGTGCGGGTACTGATCGGATGTCACCGCCCGGCACTGGCCTCGGCGCTCGAGGCTCCATGCCGCGGTGCGCGGTAGGCAAACATTCAGGAGAGGAAAAAACAAACAGACAAAATTAATCGTCGATTCCCAAGAAAATATGGGAGAATATGGGAAGTGGGGGGGAACACAGAACCCCAAAAAATATTGGAAAATATGGGGAATCCGGTTATTTGTGTGTGTATTTATTTGTGTGTCCTAGGGCCCCTTCAACGAGGCGGGGACTCATCCGTGTCCATAACATGTGTATTGGCAGAAGTGCATCCACGTCCGCCGCCTGCCGAGGCTTCCGAAGACCCATCCCCCAGGCCCCCTGGCGGCGGTTGTGCGGAGACTGCTGGAAGGGTTCGTTGCGCATGTTCGGTGGCACATGGTCGGTTTCGCGCGTGCGGCCCCGCTCGAACACCTCAAGAACAGAACGGAACGAGGGCACCAGCGCCGCTTCCCTACGGTGCGAACAGAGCCGTCTTCGGGGACTCAACAATGACATGAGCAGAACAACTCGGAGGTCCGCGCGGATTCCTCGGATTGGCGCTGGGGCCCCCTGGCGGCGCCTCTGGCGCCCCACCTGGCGCGCGCTCCAGGGGCGGGGCTCCAGCGCTGATCCGAGCAATCCGCGCGGCCTTCCGAGTTTTGAAAGAGAGCGTCCTGTGGCCGCTTGGAGGGGGGGGGGTTGGAACCAGACCCCCCCCCCCTCCCAGCCCCCTCCTCCCCTACTTCTCCTCTCTCACTCTCGTCGGCGGCGGCTGGCGGCGGCGGCGGGGACGACGACTTCCTTTCCTGGGCCAGCGCCGGCGCCTACGGCGGCGGGCAGCGGCGGCGGGAAACGTCGACGATGACGACGACGACGCCGATGACGACAACGACGCTCCGCCACTGTGCCTTGGTTTTGGTTCCGAGTCCTAATGGATGCTTCTTGGGTTCTCGTCGGAGGGCACTCGGGGGCCTCTGAAGGGCATTTGTGCAGCCTCCTGGGCGCCTCTTGGGGGCCTCACTGAGGTGGTGGTAGCGGTGGTCTATGGTGGTGGTGGTGGTGGTGGTGGTGGTGGTGGTGGTGGTGGTGGTGGTGGTGGTGTGGTTGGTGGTGGTGGTGGTGGTTGTTGTAGTGGTTGTGGTGGCACGTTGTGTTGGTGGTGATGGCAGTGTTTGTGGTGGTGGTGCGGTGTTCTGTGGTGGTGGTAATTGTGGTGGTGGTGGTGGTGGTGGTGGTGGGTTAAGGTGGTGGTGGTGGTGGTGGTGGCGGTGGTGGTGTGGTGGTTTGTCGTGGTGGTGGTGTTGGAGGTGGTGGGTTGTGGTGGTGGTGGTTGTGGTGGTGGTGGTTGCGGTGGTGGTGGTGGTGGTTTGTTGTGGTGGTGGTGGTTGTGGTGGTGGGTGTTGGTGGTGGTGGTGGTGTGCTGGTTTGTGGTGGTGTTGGTGGGTTGTGGTGTTGGTGGTGGTTGTGGCGGTGTTGGTGGTTGTGGTGGTGGTGGTGTGGTGGTTTGTTGTGGTGGTGGTGCTTGTAGTGGGGGGTGGTGGTGGTGGTGGTGGTGGTGGTTTGGTGGTGGTGTGGTGGTGGTTTGTGGTGGTGGTGGTGATGAGTTGTGGTGGTGGTGGTGGTTTGGCCGTGGTTGTGGTGGTTTGTGGTGGTGATGGTGGTGGGTTGTGGTGGTGGCGGGTGATTTGTGGAGGTGGTTGTGGTGGTGGTGGCGGTGGTGGTGGTGGTGTGTTGGTTTGTGGTGGTGGTGGTGGGTCGTGCTGCTGGTAGTGGTGGTGGTTGCGGCGGTGGTGGTGGTGGTGTGGTACATTGTGGTCGTGGTGGTAGTGGTGGTGGGTGTTTGTAGTGTTGGTGGTGGCGGTGGTGAGTTGTGGTGGTGGTGGCTGTGGTGGTGGTGGTTGGTTGGTGGTGGTAGTGGTGGTGGTAGTTGTGGTAATCGTCGCTGCGTCCCCGCCGTCGGCGCTGCTGGCCGCCGCCAGCGCTGGCGCCAGTGCCGGCGCGGGGGGGATTTGGACCCCACCCCCTCCCCCTGGGCCCTCTCTGGTCATCGTCGCTGCGTCCCCGCCGTCAGCGCTGCTGGCGACCGCGCTGGCCGAGGGGGGGGAGGGGTTTCAACC